AATCCACATTGTTAATTTTATAGATGCGTAATATTCCATGCTCAGTTTATTCTACCTGCAAAATTTCCCTTTTACTGCCTTAATTTATCTTTCTTACTCTTTCCATATTTTAGACCCTGATGTTGTCATAGCAGTTTCTTAATTGGACATTGCCTTAAATCTCAACATCCCCAAATTTTTGCTTAAACTGGCTCCAAAATGAGCTTCTTCACAAAGTGTATAATCTGTCAGTAACTCTTCGCTGATTCCTTTGTCATTTTAATATTTTGCAAAGATTGGAATATTTTACATTTCTTTGAAAAAATTGGAAACACAATCCTTGAAATCAATGTATGATATATTTATCATCTTCGAACATTTGGTTTTATAATTTGCAAAGATACACATAAAATAAAGTCCTTAAATTTCTGTATGGATTAAAGGTCTTTCAAGATAAGTTTCCTAACTCCTTGCCCTTGCTTATACTGTTACCTTTATCTGGATTACTCATCCCAGGCTTACACACTCAAAAAACTGTTCCTCTACAGTTAGGCCTCCCCTGGTGGTGCAGGCAGTTGAGTGCAGCACTGTAAAGCTGTCCACAGCCTCTGCAGTACGGGTTCGATCCCGCCAGTGGAGGAGATACCCACATGGTACGGTAGACCTCTCCTGTCTCGCCTGCTGCTCCCCTCAGCAGTGTATTTCAGTCAGTCTACCTATTCTGCTCCCTGCTCTGTCTCTGGTGAATCTTCTTACCCTCCCACACATCTGGCCTGTACCCTGGTTCTTGTATGCTTGAATAAATATATCTTCAAAAAAAAAAAAAAACTGTCCCTCCCCCTTCAGATGTTAATATCAAATACTTAAAAAAACACTGTGTATCAACCATAGATTTCAGTGTTTTATGTATCAATACACTTAATCCTAAAAAAATTGATAAATCCATTTATTAAAATCTGAGTATCTTTAACTTGAACTGAGTGACAGAATGGTTAAATTGCTTGACTCATTCATTACACAGCTAATAAGTGACAGGGCTGGAAATTCTACCACCTTGTCAAGAACCACAGTTATAACCATGAAACATATTGCCTCTCTAAGCACAAATGCCATTCATTTCCTTTGTGAAGCCATCTCTACATTTACCAAAAAATCTCTGATGATTCTTTCTTGTACGCCTCACTTTATTTTATTAGTTAACCTGTTCCATTTCAACTATATTTTAATTCTCCTTTACTATGCTGAAAACTCCTTGAAAGCAGAAACCATGAATTATCTCCATTTTATCCTTGTATCAGTGCTTAGCACATGGCCAGTATTTAATACATGACTGTTAAATACTATCATTTTAACATTTTACAGAAATTTTTCTTTAAAAAATACAGACCAAAATCCTTGAAATCATCATAGGTTTAAATTATTATATGACTGATATATGTAATATATATGTAGTAATATATAATCAACATATATGTAATATATATTCAATCATCACATGGCTCACTCTCTTCAGCTATTTGGCTTTTAAATTTCCAAGGAAATAAATAATACGGTGAGGGGAATACTATATGCCGATGTTACTTATAATATTATTAATTATAAATTGTCCTTAGAATTAAACATAATATATATTTCTACTTATAAAATAATAGACTTTTTCAGAAGTATGGCATATTTGTTATCTTAAAAATATTCAAACATCTCCTGAAATAACAAAGTTGTGAGCGGCATTATAAAGTCATCAGTTTCACAATTAGTTATTTTTGGTATTACATACGGCTTGAAAATTAACATTCTAAATAATAGTGTAGAGTTTTAGGCAATTAGAAGAAAGTGCTATGTTCAAACAAGCTCAATATGTTCTATTTTACTATCTCTCAGTCTAAATGATAGATGCTATTGAATAGTATTGATAGCTACTTCATCATATTCAATAGGGTAGTGCTGACATTTTCCCACAGAACTGCATGTGTTATATAGAGAACCATCATCACAGTTGAGCTTAATGAAAGAGTAACAATATGCCTGAACAATAGCATATTAAGGCATGGTGTCTCTTCATCAGACTCTTTCTGATATAAGCAATTATTAACTAATCTTTGTTGCCTTATCTAAAATGTTATTATGTTTTAGTTTGCAGTAAGGATTCTGCTTATTATACTTGCATATTCTTAAGAATCAAGTATTTGATAAACCTTTCATGCACTTATGAGATTGCCAGATTCACTTATGAATAAATCCTTTGTAGAAGAGAAGTAATAAAGAATCTTTGTTGCATGTACTTATGTGGCAACATATACAAAATGGAAAATAAGGGAATAAAGGTAGCTCCCAATTTTAGGAATAGTTTTTTTGCTACACTTGGTGAAATTAGTCTGGTTGCATGCCATGCAAAAATAACACTTCACTACCACCTATAGAGTCCAGAGATGTTATTTCTTGGTGCCATTCTATAAATGGCAAATTCATGTGTTTCTCAATTTGTTACTATAAACTAATAATAAATATCAAATATATTTTCACTGTACAAGAAAGCTGAAACATCAAAATATTTCTCAAACCAACTACAACTAGATTGATATTTGAGTTTAATCCCTCATACTTTTCATAATTTATTACTATATCTTCTCAAGTAAAGTACATGGGACAAATCATAATCTGTCAGATCATTATACAGAAGTTAGATCTAGAAGTTAATTCAATTAAACACAATCTGAATACTTACAATTCAGTCTCTGAAAGATAAAATAAAGCAAGGCAGCTTTAACACCCCCAAAATCTGAGATTGTGAAGACAAAAGTCACATTCTTATGTTGATTAGGTATTAAGTTAGTGGGATTTTCACACTGAGATTTTCACAAACTTTGTGAAAAAAGCTTACTATTATAATCAAGTATTTACTGTTCTTTTCTGAATTACTTCATGACACCCTAATATTGCCAGGGTATCATTTAAAAAGTTTAAAAACTAAGCCCCCAAACCTCACTCAGCAGGAAGGTTTGGGATACTTCAATAGATAAGGGAATTGATAAGGTTGCTATGGAAACCACACCATAACCTTGATCACATTGACCAGGAATGTGGAAGCAGGGCCAAGACACAGTCTGTGTTAAAGGTCAATGCCCAAGATCAGACATCCCAGAGCTAACTGGCCCAAACCAACTCCCCCAGTCATGAAAAGCCTGGGAAAACAGGTTATAAAAGGGAACCCCAAGTCCTTCTTGGAGCCCAGACCTCTACTGTCTTTCCCCCTGCTTCTTTTAGCTGTGTATGTCAATAAATCTTCCTTTTCTATTCTCCACAATCTCTGTCCTCACCACAAGATTTCTCCCCACTACAAATATCTAACCCCCAAATTCAAAATTATGCAGCCTTTTATAAGAGCATATTCCAGTATTATAATATGTAATGTTCACTATATAAATGGAGTATTTGAGCACAAACTATTTTTAAACAGTAAGGTAAGGAATCCTGTTGGTGGCACAGACATAAAAACTACTGAATGTCATAAGTAGTGAAATTGTTCTTGTTTATGTACCAGGTTGTTCAGAAGGGTTAATTCATTTATTATCTGATTGAGTCAAAATGTTTGAGTCTTCCGAACTTAGCCAAGGTTTAAGAAGGATGGAAGCAAAATAATACATGATGAATTATACCACCACTCAGCCCTGAGACTCCCTTTTATCTTGTAGGGAGCAAGCATATCTGCTGTCTTTTTTTTTTTTTTTTTTTAAACTCCAAGGGAAGTGGCTTAAAGCTTTGAAAGCTCTACAACCAAATATATGTAAATTAATTTGGAGCTTAAATCATTTATATTGTTGGTACTCAAATATTTGTCCTAAGTACAACTTAGAGTAAATTGAAGAAAGTGACATAAAAACACCTATGCAATAGGAACAGGAATTTTATCCATCCTTTTAAGATTTCAATAATTTCTGTACATGAGAGTAGGACACATTCGGCTGCATTGGGCCTTTCTTTCATGTAGGTCAGTCATTGCTCTGTGAGGAATGGGATATTTGCTCTCTTAGCCACTCACTCACTCTTGGAGTAGATATGCAGCTTTGTGGTAGTCACATAGGGAAAAGAAATTGTGAACTACACATTTGGGGATTTAAGAATTTATTTTTCACTTATTAAATGTGCTACTGGTAGCCAAAGAGATGATGGAAAATAGTTCTGGTATTCTGGTATTTGTGTGTGTGTGTGATGCAAAATAATACTAAATATAAAATAATGAAAATGTTTAATGTAATATGTAATCAGGAGTGTCATCAAAGACATTCTGTTACAGAGCAGCCCCAATATAAAACAGGTTGCCTGGCTGTGGGTCCTCACCCGCGCACTTAAAAGGTACTTATTAATACTCCACTGCAGACACACACAAAAGGTTAATAAAAGGTTTATTTACAAGGGAAGGGGAAGTGAGGAAATGTACAACTCAGGGAGAAAATAGGGAAATAAAATCTTAAATGCATCCTACCTGATCCGCCAACCTGGAAACCCAAAGGCACTCTGAGAGCTGGCCAAGAGCCCCGAGGTGTTGGAGAGCCAAAAGGGCGCCCCCCCACAAAGCCCACGGGTCCGGTTTTATACCAAACCTGGCTGCTTAGCTCCACCCTCAGTTTCCAGCAACCTTCCCTTTGGTGGTGATGGGGTTTGTCTTTCCCAATGTCCTGATGACTATGGTCTGGGGTGGGGGTGGAGTCCACAAAGCCTATATGGAATTAGCTTTAGGACATCATTTTCCCCCTAACAATTCCTTTACAAGGAAAAAAAAGCCATGAAATCTAATTTCTCATATAAACAAGTAACTTACATAGTGATTCCCAGCCTGAATCTTAGGGAGACTTAGAGACTTATCATAAAAAATATATTTGCATAAGAGATAAAGAACTCCTCTCTCAATTCAACCTGAGAATAAAAGGAAAGCTCAAATAAGAATGACTCAGAAATGAAGATTTAGTTGTGAGAAGAAAAATTTTGAGAAGTGTGGTGACTTTTCTGTGTTCTTGTGTAACAGGGTGGTCCCCAGGAAAGGGGGAGGTTCCAGGTTCCCTGCCCCACCCAAGGAAGGGTGGAGCTGAGCAGAAAAAGGAGAAGCTGCGGAAGAGACTGAGGAAGGAAGGAAGCAGAATGGAGCCAGAAGGAGACCTGGAAGAGATGCATGGAGCCTAGAAACATGTGAAAAAACTGCGCTTGTCTTTTGGTCGTGGACTGGGTGACACAGATGTGGGTGAGACCCGTGGGGAGGTGACAATGGCAGCTTTTATCTTGATGTTGATTTTGCTCTTTTCCTTCCGGGCTTGTCTGGTTGCTTGTGACCCTTTTCTGTGGGTCCCCACTGGAAGATGCTTTAGACTTGTGGCAGGCTTTGGGGCTTTGCTCTGGGCCGATCCCATTTGGATGAACTTTTACCCACGAGGGGACGGGTAACTTTGGGTGCTTCATTTAAAAACTAGACTCTTTGCCTTACCTGTATTGTTTCCTAGTTTTATTAAAGTTCCTTCCCATTAAAGTCTTATATGTTTTGTGTTGATGCGGCGGATGGCAGAACCCATTTAGAATAGACAGGTTTGCGGGGTTTGGGCTGACCCTCTCCCTGTCCTATAACACTTGCACAGATTGATCTCCAAGTTTGAGAATAAAGGGGCTGGCATTAATTTCTGCAAGAATAGTTTCAACATGCTTGTGAAATGTGGAGTCACCTGTAACAGAGCTTTGTGATTCTTCTAACAGGGTTAACACAAATGGGAGAGATGCTTTTGCTCCTATCTCCCATTCCCATACTTTTCTTTAAGCTTCATGTCCCTTAGCAACTATGGATGCTTCAGTGCACTGGAGCTGATGCTCACTGAGAAAGTCACAGAAGCAGTTCCAGGAAGAATTATTAAGCTAGAAAAACTTTGTTTATTACTGTTTACGTGATTTCATGTGTACAAAATGTCCATGTAGCTTTCAATAAATTTAAATGGCATATTTTTCCAGGGTACTATCATGTTTTTCATCATATATACATATATACATATATGCATATGTTAGCATGCAGATAAGAGGTAACTCAGAACCCCCAAGCTTGTACACTCTAAATGGGTTCTGCCATCTGCTACATAAAGACAAAGCATACTCTTAGTATGAAAGAAATTTAATAGGATAGTGTGCATAGAGAGAGAGAAAAGGATAATAGTTTTCCAATAAAACACCCAAAGTAAATGCCCAGGCAAACAGGGTTGGAACAAAGCAAGGCCCCTGAAACCCTACAGCTCACCACAAGTCTAAGACACCTTTTGCTGGGGAAACATTGGAAAGGAGTAGAAAGGACCAGCTAAGCCTGGCATGAAAGAAACAAAAACCAGATCAAGTTTTAGGTTGCAATTGCCAGCCTCCCACCATTTCTATCATCCACATCTCTTCCAAGAGTCTCTACATATCTCAAATCCATACCTCTCGTTCCTTGTCCCCCAAGTCCCTGGCGCAAGTCCAAAGCTGAGGAGCAGGAAAGCCATCCTTCACAGGTCTTAGCTCCTCGTGTGCCCCCTTTCTCCACTACTTTTTAGGGCTCAGCTCTAAAAAGTGGAGCAAGGAACATGGAACCTCCCCTTTTTTATGGAAATTCCAGTTGGTAGCACATATGCAAAAGAGACATTTTTTAAAAGCCCTTTGAGGCAAATTTAGCATAAACTATTGTTTTTGATCAGTGTCCTTGGAAATAGAGGCTGAGTTGGGAATTCTTATGCTAATGAACCATTGAGAGAAAATGAGTATGTCAGGTAAGGACAGGGGAAGGGTGTAGGTAAAGTTAAGAGTTCAACTCAGAGGTTTTCAAAATAGACTTGAGCATCACATAAGATGTGTTCAAACGCAAATTTTCAGCCTCAGATTTTTTTCAAATTCTCTAGGCTCCAGTAATCTGTTTTTACTGATGAAGTTTCTGGAATTAGTGCGGGGTCCTTGGGTTCACTCTTGGAAAAGTTTCACCAGAAACTTGTCCTGTTTCAGCGACACAGCGGTGAGTTTCCCGGGTGAATTTCTACACGAGACAGAGACGGTAGATATATTGAAAGGGCAGGTTTATTAGGGAAGGGATAAAACAGTTAAAGAAAACTTGCATAGACACAAGTGGACAGGAAGAGCTGCCCCAGAAGGGAAAGGTTTGTTGAGAGGCCTGCATGGTTGCAGGCGGGCGGCCTTGACAGGTCACGGGCAGGCAGGAAGTCTGCTGCCCTGCAGAGGGAGACAGTTGGTGAAAAGAGGCACCTGCATAGCCACAGGTGGGCAGTGGGATTGCTGCCCCAAGCCTGTGCAGAGACTATACTCATATAGTCTTCTTCTGTTTGGGAGGGGTCACTCCTTATGAGCCTTCGGTTTGTTGCTGATTTTGGATAACCATGCAAAATCCAAAAGGGACCAGAAATTCCAGGTTGGGCAGAGAAGATTCCAGGATGGGCACAATCTCTGTATCTTTACCCTCAGGTATGTTATCTACTCCGTGTAGCAGTCTGATCTTGCTTGGGTCTTTTGTCTTGTGATAAGGAACTTGTGTCTAAGGGTCATGACCTCTACAGCGAGGTTAATGGTCATGTTATTTTCCTCTACCCCCACCTCTTTGTGTGAGTCAGGTTCTGGTCTTATGGCACACCTCCTTTTCAGCTTGTTTTTTTTTGTTTTTTGTTTTTTTTAATTCCTTTCCTCCATCATTACTAGCCCTCCAGGTAATTCTTTTGCCCACCAAAATTTGAGAAGCACTGGTCTAACTGCAGTCTATGCTCAGACTCATAGAGTATGAACCTGAAGCAGCTCTGGTGCCATAGATTTGTCCATAATGAATCTGTTAGAGCAGGTTGTGCACTACCTATGTGTTACTATTGATAGAAATATCCTCCCAGGCATTTCTTGGGGGGTGGCTATCATGGACTATTCTTATGGGAGGGGTACAGCTATGGATGTTTGATAGCCAACATTTACAGTAAATGGAGAGGAACACACAGATCTGGTAAAGAGCATCTGACTGGGACCTCAATAATTTTTTTTCTAAACAGCCTTATGATCCCCAATTCAAAGTGAAATTTTCAAACCATGCGGACTGAGCACCTCACAAGGGGAGAAAATGGAATAAAACTAACGGGGAGATTAGGGATCCCTCATTCCTTTGCATATTTTATTTAGTAAATAAACAAAGCCACCTGAATGTTAGGAGTAAAAATCCTCTATTTAGAATTATTGAGGAGAAGACTGCAAAGAGGTCATGGAAAAGGATGATAATTCTTTGCTGGGGAGAGGACTTCTGAGGAATACTTTCATGATGAAGAACTTCCTGCATTTACTTGCATGTCAAATGGGAGAGTACTGATAGCTTCAGAGAGCAGGAATCCAGCCCATGTCCCAATGTGGGTGGCATCATGAAAAGAGAACTTTTAACAGTGTAATTCCCATAAAAAGGGGGGGGGTTCCCTGCCCCACCCAAGGAGGGGAAGAGGGAAGAAAAGGTAGAAAAGACTGGGAAAAGGACTTGGAAGGGGATAAAGGAAGGAGAAGTCTTGGAGGAGGCACTTGGAGGAGAGATATGAAGAAGAGGCCATGCTTACTTCTTGGCATTGGACTTGTACCAGGAAATCGTGGGGCATGGAAGGAGGCACTTGAAAGCATAAGAGATGAAGGTGAGAGACCCATGGGGAGGCTGACACTGTGAGCCTTTAATTGATTTGTGTTTTGATTTTGCTCTTTTCCTTCCAGACTTCCCTGGCCCCTTTTGCTCCTTTCCTGTAGTTCTCCACCAGAAGGTGTCTTAGACTTGTGACAATCTTTGGGCCCTTAGCAGCCCTGCTTTGGGCCAACCTGTGGCTGGGAATTTATCCATGAGGGGATGGGGAACTTTGGTGTCTCATGGGAAACATTTTGAACTATATTCTTTCTCTTCTCTCTAGCGCACACTAATAGTATTAAAGTTCTAATCTAGTAAAAGTCTTAGTGCAGTAAGTTTTGTCCTTATGTGGCAGATGGTAGAACCCATTAAAAGCATGCAGGTTTGGGGATCTTGGGGTGTCCCTCAGTCTGACCACTAAAATAACCATACCAATGAACAAGATTTGTGCCCTGACATCATGCTCTGTCTTATTGCTGGGGCATTTTGCTTGTTTCTTCCTCTGCTTATGCTCACTCATGATATCTGAAGGAGACATTTCCAAAAGGGAATTTATCATATAGATCACAGTCATCTTTGATCTAGTCTTGCAGCTGCTAAGTTAGTAAAAACTTCACATTTCCTAATGGAAACCTCCCCTGAGAAAAGCATATATCTTTTCAAAACCACGTATTGTGGTCCTTGATCATTTTTAACTTTGCATTCTGATGGTTATTAACTTGACTGTCTACCAAGTTTATAGGTTTTTTTTAAGGCCAAATGGTTACTTACTTGTATATCATATTTATATTCCCGTTAGAATCTACTATAGTGTTGGGAAAATAGTATATACTCTAAAAAAAAAAAATACTTGCAAAATTGATTTCCTTGATTCTATCAGGAGTTTTTTTTCACTTTTATGCTTAAAAAAATAACCACATTGAAGTAACGCAAATATAAATCAACTCCAACCAGTGCAAATAGTAAAAATCTGAAGGATACTACCTGCTATTCTCCAAGTACACACAAAAGCAATGTTTTAACACTTATATGAGTCTTTGGGCCTCTTATCTCTGACACCATCCTTATATTTTAACACAATGCAATTTTCTTTCTTTTTCAGTTTCCCACTGCTACTGTATTGTGCAATGCTTGGGAAATTCACAAGTCATACATAAATTCTTACTAGAAGTTTGCATTCAACATTGGTTTAGTTCAGGTATATATAAACTTAATCATACTACAAATTATTATCTGAATTATCCTACTAACAGTACATAGAGTGTGTATCTACATTAAACTCTGCTGAAAATTTTTTTCAGTACAAATACTAGTGACAGGTCTAGACACCTAGAGGTCTGCAAGTCAGTTGAAGCTTTGAGATATCTCAGGCCTCATAAAACAGACCTGGTATGTTTTTTCATGTCAAAGAGGAAGATGCTAAGGGATAGTGCTGGATTCAGACAATTGAAATGCATTGACTGTCACAAATCATCAAAGGCCAATGGTGTCATTTCATTAGCACAGAATGGAAGAGACCAAGTCTTAATGCACTGCTCTAGACACAACTATTTATACAGAAACCACTTCTTTTTATTTTGAGTCCCTTCTATCTCTTTACAGAAAAAGAAGAATCTTTTTTTAAAAAATGCAAAATAAAATCTGTGGTATTTTCACTCAGTTGTTTCTTTACTTCTCTATTGCAAGGAGCAAACAAAACTAAGACTTTGTTCTGACATAGCATAAAAGAGATATCTTCTATTCAGTGAAAATTACATCGATTCAAAAGCAGGCAAGGGAATCATCCAGCTAGCAAACAAAGTGGGTTGTTCAAGAAAAGAACATGTTACAGCGTATACTTTATTGCTACATCCAGATTATTGCTTCCTTTGTGAATTGGAGGCAGCTTGAAGGCAAGAACTGTCTCTACAACTTTTATAAATTCTCACATAATACCATATAGTAATAAGTTTCAGGGTCAAATTAATAATTAGTTTATTTCATTTTTTGTTCACTGATCTTGAGCTGGATTGAAATTTTCTTGCTTTATGTTTTCCCCTTTAGTAAGTGGGTGCTTCATGTATGATTTTACCAAGGTAACATACTATATTTTATAGAAAACCAACAATTGCATTCAGTGCTAGTCTCCATTTAACTAGTGCCTCTTCTCTTTGCAATGAATTTTAGCAATTTTACTTCCAGAACCCTTTGCAGTCTGTCAAATTATTTCAAATTCGATTAAGATTAGCATGCTTCATTTATTAAAACATCTTAGAAATATTTTCTTCCTTCAAGCTAGTAGCTCTATAATTATAAGCTCTATAACTGGTGAATAAGATAAAATCATTTTTTTTTTACATTAAAGGAAGCAGGAAGAATTTCTCCACAAAATTCTTTTAGTTTATATGCCTTTGGCATTTCAACATGTAAATACTGGAATCTAAAAATCACAACAACTCAAGCCAATTCAAGGTTTTGTTTTCTTAGAGAATGTAAGAAAAATGCCGACAGGCTATTTGAATTTAGATTTGAAACAAATACAGAAAACTGCAGTGAAAATAGTGTGGTTTAATAGTGTAGACACTTTGCTATCTATGTCATCATCCTCTAAGACAGTTCTTCAGAGAAAAGTCAGAGGAAATGGAAGGGAAGAATAGCACAATTCAGCTCCTATCTCAATTGCCTCTTGCAGCATCTCTGAATCATGGACCAGGATTGAGTGCAATTCTGTGGCAAAAAAGTGCAGCTTCTTTTGCAGATCACCTGTGTTGTTAAAGTTGAAACTGGTGTGAGACCATTTGTCTTCAAAAGTTACATCTGTCCTCACTTTCCTGTCTCTTTTCAGATTTGCTTCCTGAGAGCTGATCCTGCTCACCTTTAGGATTCCATGTCCCAAGACAGACATACAGCGAACAGCACTGTGTAGAATTCTTCACCAATTCTCTCAACTGTGTAAAGTCCTATTTCTACAGTATATTACTTACTCAATGTCATTCTAAGAGCTGTGCTTCCTTGATTGAATCTAACTGGTACAGAAATTTGTAAACAAAGGGGTTCCAAGGGAAAAGAAAAAATGTGTGGATGGTTTATATATACTAGTTATGGATTATCTGAAATCTTTTAATTTTTTTTAAGAAGTGCAGTACAGGCCAGAGATGCAGGGGGCATTGAGAAGATTCACCAGAGACAGAGTGCGGAGCAAAACAGGCACGGATTGACTGAAATACACTGCTGAGGGGATCAGAAGGGAAGATAGGGGAGGTCTGCTGCACCATGTGGGTTGCCCCCCGGCCAGCCAGGGATTGAACTCCCACAGCAAAGGCCACAGACAGCTTCACAGCACTGTGCTCAACCCTCTGCACCACCATGGAGGCTCCCTGAAACTTTTTTTAAATTGTTATATTTAAAGGAATCAGTGATCTTGTTGCCATTAATAAAGAGGAAACTGAGAGTTTATGGCATGACAGAAAATTATTTAAATTCCAACCTGTAGATGAATTTAATCATGTTTCCATAGAAGGAAAATCTTTAGGTAACCAAGTATGTGTTTCCACAATGATTTTAGTTAAAGAAAAAATAGAATGGTATTGGTATTGGTTGATCACTTCTAAATTCCTAGCACAAGGTCCAGATAAAGGAGCTGAAATCTCCTATTCTTTCAAAAACTCTTATCTCTAATTGCTGCAGGATCACAATCTGAAATGAAATGAAAATGAAATTTAAAGTCTATAGGAAAACAAATCTGATTCAATCCAATTGAATTCTCAACTTTCTGCTTTCTTGTATGTTAAAATTAGGCATTGATTGGAAAGGAGTTTCACCCTGAAAGTGGATGAGCTATGTAAGTGCAAATCTGAAACTAGGGATCTTGAATCCTCAAATTCCACTAAGCGGCATTTGTCAGTAGAAGGACCCCTTTTCTAGGGATGACGTTTTTACTCTTTCATAAAGAATATTTAATTACTTGTTACAGGACTATTTTTCTTATGTAGGACCTACTGTGATCTAGATTTGTCATAATTGAATTCCAGGGCCAATTCTTCAAGGTGTTTTGTAAAGTTAGGTGATTGTTTCTAGAAAAACTGTTGAAAAATAGCTTCTGGCTTATTATTAGCCTCTTATTGAAATTAACTGACTTTCTATGGACCATTATATCATGATGTAACCTGAGCGTCCCATCACAGAGTTGATGTCTTCTGATTTATCAAGTCTAATATTGGGCATGCATTCTGCCATCACACAGATACATATCCTACAGTGGGTAAGAGATAGGGTTCAAGCAGGTCAAAAGTCACAAGTAAGTTGAATCAGTAAGTGCTATAGGTGTTCCTGACCCCTATCCCTGATATACTGCTTTTGAACTCTCAGTTTGCACACAGAGCCTTACAGGAATATCCCTATGACCAGTTACTCAGGAAGAAAAAATTAGGATTAGTTTATAAGTGATTCTATATACTACACTGGCATTACCTGCAAAAAAAAAAAAAAAAACAGCACCAGCATTCCAGACCTCCCTATGGGTGATCCTGAAGATGAGTATGGTTAAGGGAAACCTCAGGGTGCAGAATTCCAAGCAGTTAATTGGTGGTTTGTTTTACCAAGAAGGAAATATGACCAGATATAGAAGGAGATATGTCTGTGCTATTCATAGGCAAAACCTAGAGATTTTGATTGGCAGTCAAGCACTTAGAAATGAACATATTAGATGTGGAAAGACATTTTTAAGTAGAAAGGTTGTAGTTCTGTGCTTCCCAAATAAATGTTCATTGAAGAGCAGCTTAGCAGAGGAGGATCTTAATAATCAGATGTGCAAGATGATCATTTCTGTAGATATCTGCTTCTTTCCTCAGTTATTTCTTCCTTGCTCCATGAACTCCCAAACAAAGTAATCAAAGTGGCAGGTGAATTCAATGCCAGACCCAGAAACATGGACTTCCATTCATCGAGGCCAACTTTGCTACAATCGCTGTTGACTGACTGCCCAATTGCTAACAATTGATCCTAGCATTGAATCTCTAAATGGCATCATATCCTGGGGTTATTAGTCATCCACTTGGTGACAAATTAATTATATTAGGCCATTTTCATCAAAGAAAGGCCAACACTTTTTCCTCACTGGAATAAATTTTGCACTGTAACATAAACATAAATTCCTAAAATAGCTCCAGTCTATTCTGGATATGAATTTACTTTCCAAGCCTACAATACTCTATCAAAAACACCCTCAGTGAGAATGCCTGATTCACCATTATGATGTTTCACACAGCATTGCTTCTAAACAAAGAGCCCATTTTATAGCAAATGAATGTGACAACAGGCTTTTGGAAGTTAGTGCTAATGGAAGTCACTAACCTTAACATGTTTCTTACTATTTTGAAGCAAATAACTTGAAGACTTAGAGTGGCAGACAAGTGACATGTTGGGAAAACAGGTAATGTCCTACATGATGTGATTACGTGCTCTAAATCAGTGACTACTATACAATGCTGTTTCTTCCATAACTGGGAAAGATGGGCTATATATGGGAGTGGCACCTTTGTAACCCCTATTGATAGTCTAGTGAAAGAAATTTTGGTTTCCTTTTTTTCTGAACTGGTCCTGATGCTCTGTGGGGGTCATTTTGCTCTCCTCAAGTCAGTAAACAAAAGGAAGGGCTACTTTATTGGCTGAGGTGATTAGTTTATGCTGCCAAAGTTTATGCTGCAAACTGAGTTGCAATTAAAATGGCAGGGGAGAGAAGTATGATTTGAGTACAGGACATCCTTTGTGATATTTTTATTCTTCCCAGATCTTGTGGTGAATGTGATTGAAGAACCTTAACAACCTGATATATGTCGTACTCTATTGACATAGACCCTGAAAGCTCTATTACAGACGCTTGTTCTTCCTCTGAAAAAAATGAAAAGTGGGGTCTTCCAACCAGGCGGAAATCACAACCAGAAAAGAGGCTTATTGAGATCAAAGAGAACATGAAAAAGATGTAAGTACCTGCCACAATCATATAAATAGTTACAGAAATACGGATTATAGTTACTATTTTCTTATTTTGATATAAATAGATGCATGTATTAGCTAATTATTTTCTTTCTTTATCTGCTATTCTGCCATTTAAAATATATTAATATTAATTTTATCTCAGCATTTAATTTTATTTCAGCATTTGTGCTGTTGGCTAAAAACGGGTTTGTGAACATGAAGTAAGAAAAGGAATGAACAATGCCCAAGTTTGTTAAAATGACAGAAATTAAATTCCTCATTTTGGACAGTCATATTTTTAGTTGTACAATGAATTATTGCATCAAGCCAGGAAGAAGAAAATTTTTATTAATGTCTTTATTTGGAAATTAAATATAGTTGCAAGATATTTGCATGGATATCAGTTTGATAAGAATTATGGAATCTCATTGTTTTATACTGTGCTAGCCTGACTGATCAAAAAATCTCCCCAAAATTCCTTTGTCTTTATGTTCACAGGTTAGGGTTTGTCAAAAGAAAAACTTGAAGTTGAAAGTTCAAAGTGAAGCATCAATCATTATAGGCTGAAAATTGGTGTGAGATACCAGGCATCACTGCTACTCAAGCAAAATGTCACTGAACTGCTAATCTACCTTCTAGGTATAGGGCACTACTAATCTTGTGGTTCTCTCTGCTTCCACCAGCTCTCCTTTAACATCACTTAGCTTTAGAACAGGTACTGATACAATTTCATGGTAAATTTTCCAGATTTTCTGCTGGTCACTCAAGTCATTGAGATTGGAGGGAGTTTTTCCTTATGGGTACCAGTTTGTTATTAATTTTGCTGCCTCATGCCTACCTCTTTTTTTTTTTTTTTCCCTGATTAATGTTCCTCATAACCTAAAGGCACTTCAAGTCCATCACCACAAGCAAAGACAAGCGTCTTCCATGACTGTGTAAGATCTAATTCCTACAAAAATACCTTTATTTCTTATCCCTCACAAGTTTCTGCTTCCTTGATAGTCTCCTAATTAAAACAGTCTACAAAGACTCTAATAAAGACTCAGAAAGGAACTTCCTCATAGTCATCAATAATCTGTCCTATATAGTCATATCATACTGAAAGTTGATCAGTTGCTGAACATTCTTATTTTCTAACATTCATGAATACATATTTAAAGTGTCATATCAGCTGACATATTTACTGCAGTGACCATCTCTAGACCACAGAAGAGTTATGGGATCAGGCTTTTTGTACCTTCACTCAGACAGCAAATGCTGAGTAGAAATCCCAGGCTGTATTTGGCAAAGAGCGTATGTCTTCACATCTGTTGTTTTCTGCTTCAGAGATTGCATTGTCCCATGCTACTTAATTGACTAAAAATATTCTAATTTAGAGAGATATTGTGGAGAGGTGACCATATTTCCTTATTTGATTTTTGGACCTCAAACAAACTGAGTTCTATTTTAAGAGCTAAGAATTGAGAGTAGACATTAAAGAGTTAATAGGTTGGATTGAAGAATTACTCCTTTAGGAGTAACAATTGGGTCCTTCTAGTGAATGCAATAAAAACCTGGAGTGGGGGTGGGGAGTTACACTTAGACAAGAAAACTCTGATCTATATCAAAATGACAGCAAAGATCCAATTTTCTACAGGACACAGATTATTAGGGCATACGTTTGGATATATATCTATAAGTCAATGCTCTGCAATGATGGTAGGGAATAATAATGACATCATGAGTATCTCTTGTGGGTTTGTTAAACTATCTTTGAGAGTACTTTACAGCATCTCAAATCCATATATTTTGCAACATAATTAAATTGTCATTCGGAAACACATAAATCATAGTAAACATATACTTATTTATTTTAACAAAGTATAGAAAAACATTTGAGTATTTTCCAACCATACCTTCAAAAATAAGGGAAAGAAAGGAGGAGAGGAAGGGAGAAAGGAAAGAAGGAAGAAACTCATATACCTAGAATTAATTAAAAAAAACAAACAAACTTGGTTTTAATGTCCTCATTTACGTAGTAGTATTTCATACTCTGTTTTTGAAAGTTGCGCATTAAATACAGGGGGCAGAAGAAGGGAAAACTGCCTTTGCCACTTTTTTGTATAAGCACACATTTATATTTCTAGGTTTCCTTGCAAACGCCATTGCAGGTAGCATGGTATCTCAACTAGGTTTCATTGCATTGTTCTACTAGTAGGAGGGAAGTGTTGCACTGGGAACTGGAGTAAGTATTTGCTGTCAGTAAGTGAATATTGGGCTTCCCTTGTGCCCCCAGGGGTTGAGATGCCAACTATGAAGCTGTCCGCACACTTTATGGCATGAGTTCCATCCCGGGCCTGCCAGGGAGATACCCATATGGCACAGCAGACCTCTCCTGATTCGCCCACTGCTCCCCTCAGCAGTGTATTTCAGTCAATCCACCTGTTCTGTTCCCTGCTCTGTCTCTGGTGAATCTTCTCACCCCCCACACCTCTGGCCTGTGCCCCAGCTCTTGTAAGCATAAATAAATAAAAATCATTTTAAAAAATAATAAGTGATTATCTGTTATGCTCCAGAAACTTTATGTTTGTATTCAGAATAAATTTGAAAAATATAGGTCTTAAAAACTTACATGGTCTTCATAAATGAAATATATGAGGAACAGTTCTTTTAGATGTTGCACAAATAAGGAATATTTTTAAAATATCAAATCAATCTAGAGGAATTCATTATCATTTTTTAAAGATTTATTTATTTATGCATAGAAGAACTGGGGTACAGGCAAGAGATGTGGTGGGTGAGAGAATTCACCAGAGGCAGAGTGGGGAAAAGAACAGGCAGATCAACTGAAATACACTGCCGGGGGGAGCAGCGGGCAAGCCAGGAGAGGTCTGCTGCACCATGTGGGTAGCTCCCTGGCTGGGTATCAAACTTGTGCTGCAGTGGCTGCAGATAGCTTCATAGGTTGCACCTTAGCCCCCTGTGCCACCAGGGACTCCCAGCAATTCTTTTTTTTTTAAAAAAGATTTATTTATTTATGCATACAAGAACTGGGGTACAGGCCAGAGACCTGGAGGGTGAGAAGACTCACCAGAGACTGAGTGGGGAACAGAACAGGCAGACTGACTGAAGTACTCTGCTGAGGGGAGCAGCGGGGCAGTCAGGAGAGGTCTGCTGAGCCATGTGGGTCACCATCCTGTTGACTGGGGATTGAACTTGTGCTGTGGTGGCTGTGGACAGCTTCATAGGTTGGGTCTTAAACCCCTGTGCCACCAAGAAGGCCCTTATTAGCAATTCTTAATCTTTAGTTTATCTGCAGCAGTCATTTTCTCAAAGGCTTTGGTGTCTATGATTCATTGCCTATTGGACTTAATAAACTTATCCTATTTCCTGAGTCAGGAATATTTACTATAAGTAGAATTTGACCAAAATCATGACGACAAACCTACTTAAATGAAATATGAATTGAGTATGCTATATACACAGAAATTAACATGTAATAAATGATGTTTTAGTGTTAAATACACTAAAATTTATTTTGTCTCATAAATGTGATTATTTGTTTGGTACATTAGCATAAACAAACCAATTTAATGGAAATTCCCTCATATAGGGTTGTTTTCATAAATGTCAAAACTTTTTCATAACACTTATGAGGTAGTGATACAGCTACATGCAAACAAAATTTCAGCAGTTATGTTCAGTTGAATATTTTTCTCCTCCACTCCTACCCACTCCCACACTAAAAAGTCCTATGGCATGAGAGCCATTTATAGTGAAGGTAATTCAGTTCTCATAATTGAAATTCTAAGTAAATAGAACTTACAACGTGGAATGGCGAGCCATGTACATAGTATTGTACTTAATTCCTCGTACTAAGGAGGCAAAGGGATCAATAATGCCAAGTATCTAGAAGCTGAATTCTGAAATTTATATGAAGGCATTTCTAAAACACAGAGAGGAAGAATCAGAATGTTTGATCTCATCTGAGTTCAGCTCTAACTTTCTCTATCATTTTACTGTGTCCCCTTAGGAAAGTTTATTAACTTTATGGTTTTTCACCATCTGTAATATGGGAATAAAATATTTGATACTTAAAGCTCAATGACTCTATGAAACAAAACCAAGTTTTATTTGTGGCATACCATCAAATCTTACGGGGAAAAAGCACTCTTAAGTATGAGGTTTTATTATATCTTTTCTTTCAAGACAGAGCAGCACTGAGATTTCTCTAGGCTAAAACAATTAAAATGGATCTATAAAATTTTGCCATATTGCCAAGATATATTTCTAGGTATTTCATCCTCATGTCCCCACAAGGATTATTATATAATAGATTATTATAGTCTGTGGATTATATCTATCAACAGAGATACTTTTCTCTAAGGTAACAAATGCAAATTGATTATCTTAAATAAGGCTTAAGATCATGATTTTATGGCCAGTGTCACTTCAATAAAACCTTCTGTAGTTCAGCTAGGAATATAGAAAGAATAGTAAGTAACATTCTTTCCATTGATGGAGAAATAGTATCTAGAAAGACATCTCATCTTTAAAGTAAAAGGGAAAAACATATCTATGAAACGTTAAAACTTCTTCTATGCTCTTCAGTTTTTTTAAAAGAAGGATTAGCAAAGGATTTTTTTAAAGATTTATTTACTTAAGCATACAAGAGCTGGGGTACAGGTCAGAGGTGTGGGGGTTAGTGAGAGGATTCACCAGAGACATTGGTGAACAGAACAGGCAGAGTGACCGAAGTACATTGCTGAGGGGAGCAGAGGGCGAGACAGGAGGGGTCTGCTGCGCCATGTCGGTAGCTCCCTGCAAGGGGATCGAACTCCTGCTGCAGAGACTTCAGATTGCTTCATAGTGCAGTGCTTAACCCCTTGAGCCACCAGGAAAGCCTCAGCAAAGGAATTTTTACTTTGTTTTCATATTAAATATTTTACAAAATGATATGTGAAAGAAAGCAAAAGGAAATTGCTTATGGATTCCATGAACAGGCATAGTGCCTTTTTTA